GGGGGGGGGTAGGTCTGCACCAGCTCTGCAACTGGATCACGTTTCTGTATTGTGAGCAATAGACAGAGAGTCTGTCCATTTTATTCGCTACTAACCGATAGTGAATCTTGTAGTCCGCAAACAACCTTTTTTCTAATTCCTAGCACTTTTGAAACTGTGCTTTTATTTTCTTAGTTGACTTCTACCATTTGGACGCAATCTGGTCAAAAAGTCGAGTCAGTCAAACTAGTTCACCATTGTCGTTCATTCATATTAAAAGCACAACAGGACATGTGGTTGCTGGACCCTCCATATGACAGACGCGCTGGTGTCAACATTTGACCAACGCGGTGCTCCGCAAACTAGAGCGGGTAACCTGATCAAAAGGCACGGGGCACCGCAGCCGGCGGCAGCCTACCGACCCCGGCCTATCTTCCTCTCTCTTTCGCCCATCTGGTTTTCTTTTCCCTTTTCCGATGAATAATGTACCCCCCGAAATGGACTAACACTCCCACCGCGAGGTATCCCCCATCAGCCCCTGTTAATTCATTATTCCCTTTGGCTGCTGCTCCGAGGTGCGCGCCCGGCCCGCTCGGCCCACCCGGCGCTGTCAGCTTAAAAGTGCCGCGGAAGGTCTTCTTCTTTCCCCTTTCCGCAGCGAGCGCCCCCCGCCCGCCTGTCGGCGACAGCGACGCGCTCCGCGCCATGCGACATGATGCCAGTCAAATCGGGGCCAACCGCCGCACCGCGCCCAGAACGCCCGCTTGTCAGCTTGTAGCAAAGTATCAAGAACCAAATAATTGAATGAAACCTCGCAATGAGCAAATCATGAAAATGTCCTAATTTGTCTATTTATTACTTGAAAGTAAAATGTAACTATAGTGAATAATCGTAAATAAGTGGATGCTATACGCTCGGGACCAGTATCCATTCAAATTATTGTTGCCTACGAGGAGATGTCTTTTAATTGCTACTAAGAATTCAATTTGTGGGGGACAAACTATCAGAGGCAGCAATATCAAGAGCAACGGCGTTTTAAGGTTACCCGAGCAGCACTTACTTGTTCTCCTAAAGGGTACGGTGTTAGTATCACGGTATTCCTGACACGAGGAGCTGGAGCGAATTCGTCATGGAGAGATAGTTGGCCTGGCTGTGTTATTTGCCTGTTTGCTGGCAGGTGGGCGGGTCGAGCGTTTGCGTGTCCATCCCGTCCAAGGCCACGCAAATGTCAACCCCGTCGTTCCAATCCGTCCAATTGGCGCACCGAGTACGGTGGTAAAGCCCCCATTCAGCCAGTACCCCGATTCCACCGTTCTGCGTTCTCTGTCTCTGTCTGTCTCTGTCTCTCTCTCTCTCTCTCTCTCTCTCTCTCTCTCTCTCTCTCTCT